TCTTTCTCTGTGAGCAAGACCATGCACAGCACCTATCACATGTGCACTCAGGACAAGGTCGAATTTTTGGCCTTCGCATTCAGTGCCTGGGATCTTGCAGTGGAGATCAGACAAGCGGGGCAGGACAGCGGAATTCGGGTAGCAGGCTGACATGGTAAGCCGTAGACTTTTGGCTGCTTACAACTTAAATTATAGCAGTGCCCTCCTTTCACGTTCAAAGCAATGCTCCTAGCGTTGGCCAGTTCCTGCTGCCGGCAATCCAGCAAGCATGAACTCTGCCCCGTCCCACCCCCTCGCGGCTGTCCCCGGGAAAGATCCCTGTATGCTGCCCCTGTCCTGCCTCCACCGCGTGGCTGTAAACCGCCGGTTTCAGTTATGTAAAGGAACAGGCAAGCAGTCCCAATACTAACATTCCCCTAATTCAAAGCAGGTCACCATGAGCAACATCACTCTGATGAGGATTTCTGACACAGAGAGAGACCGCATGCTGCGTGAAAGCCAGCAAAAACCAGGGCCGTATGCCGCCATGCTCTGCGAGACAATGATCCCAGAGTATTTGATGATAGCCTGGCGCGGAAAAGTTTCCTACCACGGAGGATGCAATAAGGCCGCTCTCCCCAGGAACCTCATGCAAAGGCTTTCCAATTACCTCCAGGAGAGCTTCGTGGAGATGTCCCATGAGGATTTCAGCTCTATCCCCGGACATATAGACCTTATTTTCCAGTAGCTGCACTGGAAAGGACTAAAAAGTAGAGCACCTAAGGCAAACTAATCATGATAAACCGGACATTGTTAGATTCTTTTGCAGTAGTTGCACTGCCAAGCACTAAAACGTTAAGCGCCTAGGGGAAACTAATCATGAAAAACCCATTGATAATATTCCTATTCTGTTCAAAATAAATGTTTACATGTTTAAAACACTTACCGACTGATCCTTCCCCTGATTCAGGGTCCGGGTTAATGCCTCAGGAGGGTTGGTAGGGGATCTCCGTGAGGGTGATGAAGAGATCCTGGCTGTCGGGGAAATCAGCGTTGTAAGCGCTGTCGACTGCCTCGTCCTCCTCATCTCCTTCCTCATCTTCCCCATCCGCTAACATCTCCAAGGAAGCGGCCGTCGACAATATCCCATCCTCAGAGTCCACGGTCAGTGGTGGGGAGTGGTGGCGGCCGCACCTAGAATGGAATGCAGTGCCTCGTAGAAATGGCATGTCTGGGGCTGGGATTCGGAGCGTCCGTTTGACTCTTTGGTCTTCTGGTACCCTTGTCTCAGCTCCTTGATTTTCACGTGGCACTGCGTTGCATCCCGGCTGTATCCTCTCTCTGTCATGGCTTTTGAGATCTTCTCGTAGGTCTTCGCATTCCGTTTCTTGGAGCGCACCTCCGAAAGCACGGACTCATCGCCCTACACAGCGATCAGATCCAAGACTTCCCGATCAGTCCATGCTGGGGCCCTCTTTCTATTCTGAGATTGCATGGTCACCTCTGCTGAAGAGCTCTGCATCGTTGCCAGTGCTGCTGAGCTCGCCATGATGTCCAAACAGGAAATGAGATTCAAACTGGCCAGACAGGAAAAGGAATTCAAATTTTCCCGGGGCTTTTCCTGTGTGGCTGGTCAGAGCATCCGAGCTCGGACTGCTGTCCAGAGCATCAACAGAATGGTGCACTGTGGGATAGCTCCCGGAGCTATTAGCGTCAAATTCCATCCACACCTACCCTAATTTGACATGGCCATGTCGAATTTAGCACTGCTCCCCTCGTCGGGGAGGAGTACAGAAATCGAATTAAAGAGCCTCTATGTCGAATTAAATAGCTTTGTTGTGTGGACGGGTGCAGGGTTAATTCGATTTAACGCTGCTAAATTCGACATAACCTCCTAGTGTAGACCAGGCCTCAGAAAACTTTGCCACCTTACTGTCTACCCCTTTTTCCAGATCATTTATGAATATGTTGAACAGCACTGATCCCAGTACCCAAGTTCCCTGTAAGCTGCGCTGCGAGGGCTGCGCAGGTGGGGAGAGGAGCTCCTCCCACAGCATGGCCCAACCCAGGCCAGCCAGAGCTACCAGGGAGAGGAGTTCCTCCTCCGGCCTGGCCCAGCCCAGCACCGCTGGAACTGCCGTGGCCTGGGAGAGGTGCCTCTTCCCTGGCCCGGCCCAGCCCAGTCCCACCCCGACGGAGCTTCTGCAGCTGGGGAGAGGCACCTTTCACCTGGCCCTGAGCTGCTGCAGTGAGAGAGGGCTGGGGGCAGTCCTCTCTCCCCACCGCAGCCCTGGGGCAACCTGCACCCTAAACCCTTAATCCCCATCCCCACCCCATAGCCTGCACCCCAACCCTCTGCTCCAACCCTGAGCCCCCTCCCACATGCCAAACCCCTCATCCCCAGACCCACCCCAGAGCCAACATCCCCAACCAGAGCCCTCATGTCCTCTTGCACCCCAACCCTCTGCCCCAGCCCTGAGCCCCTCCCACACTCCGAACCCCTCGCCCCCCCCCACCACACATCACCTCCATATTGGTGCACATAACAAAATTCATTCTGCACATGGATGTAAAAAATTGGAAGGAACACTGCTCAGTACAGCTTCTTAGGGGACCCAGCTATTTATTTCTGTACACTCTGAAAACTGACCATTTATTCCTACCCATTTGTTTCCTATCTTTTAACCAGCTACTGATCCATAAAATGACTTTCCCTTTTATCCTATGATTGCCTGCTTTGCTTAAGAGCCTTTGGTAAGAGACCATGTCAAAGGCTTTCTGAAAGTCCAAGAATGTGGTATGCACTGGATCACCCTGGTCCACATGTTTGTTGAACCCTTCAAAAATTCTAATAGATTAGTGAGGCATGATTTCCCTTTACAAAATCCATGATGACTCTTCTTCAACATATTATATTCATTTGTGTGTCTGATAATTCTCTTCTTTATTATAGTTTCAACCACTTTGCGTGGTACTGAAGTTAGGCTTATCAGCATATAATTGCCAGGATAGCCTCTGGAGCCTTTTTTAAAAGTCAGTGTTACATTAGTTATCTGCCAGTTATCTGGTACAGAGGCTGATTTAACAATAGGTTACATACTACAGTTAGTAGTTCTGCAATTTCATACCTGACTTCCAAAACCTCCTCTATTGACACCTCAGTCTGGGACAGTTCCTCAGATTTGTCACTTAGGTATGGGAATCTCCCTCATATCTTCTGCAGTGAAGACTGGTGCAAAGAATTCATTTAGCCTCTCCACAACAGCCTTGAGTACTCCTTAGCATCTCCATTCTCCAGTGGCTCCACTGATTGGTAGGTTTCCAGCTTCTGATGTGCTTAAAATTTGTTTTGCTGTTTGTTTTTGTGACTTTTGATAGTTGCTCTTCAAATTTCATTTGTTAGCCATGGTGGCATTTTTATTTTTATTTTTTGGTCCTCTTGATATATTTTTTTAAAATTTGTGACATACATTTAGTTTGAGCCTCTGTTATGATGTTTTAAAAAAATTTCCGTACATTTGCAAGCATTTCACTTTTGTGCCCAAAATAGGCACCAAAATAAGTGACCAGATTTTCAGAAGAGCTAAATATATTGAATATAGATTTTGAAAATCTGTCCATAGGTGTCTCAATGGGAGCAAATGGGTGCTGATCACCTTTGAAAATCTGGCCTTTATTTATGTGCTCTTCTGAAAAATTGCCTTCGTTTGTGCACTTGAAAATCTGACCCTAAATTCTTCTGAAAAATTTGGCTCTGCAAATAGACTTGGCACTCTATATACCAAAAGGTGCTCAGCATGGGACTAACAGGGAACTGAAGATCAAGAGTGGTGTGCACTCCTGTGCAGTGGTATGGGAAGGCTTGTGTAATGCTCACCTGTACTATGCCTCCCTCAAGTCAGTGTTTTACTCTTCCTTTCATCAGCAGTATGCAGAGGAGAGGAAATCTTAAAAATCCTTGGGCAAAATTGTGGCCCAAGTAAAGTCAATGGGAGTCTTGCCATTTACCTCAATGGGGCCAAGATTTTACCCCTTGATTTTTGCTGAGTCTTCTGGGGTCTCTGAGTAGCTTCAATATATTGCAGAAAAAATAGGAATGGGAGAACTAATCTGGATAAAATAAAAAGAGGACAGAGGAAGCTTGTGGTAGGCCCAAGATTTTGTTGGATCCAGAACCCAATTTGCCTTAATCGATCTCTTCTGCTTCCTTCGCTCTTTCAGATAGAGCCATTTAGGTAAAAATACCACAAGAGGGTATTCTCATGGTCTGTCTATCTTAACTTTAACATAAAACTCGTGAGGGAGCTTGTTATGTATAGTTTCCAATCCAGTTTGGAAGAACCAAGAGGTTCAGATAAATGTGAAAGCCAAACTTTTGGCTGAGTATCCAAACTAAACCCCAAACTTTTCCAGATTCTATAACAGATTTAAAAGTAGCTATACTTGAACAAAAAAACTTCAGAAACAGACTTCAAAGAGAAACTGCAGAACTAAAATTCATTTGCAAATTTAACACCATTAATTTGGGCTTGAATAGGGACTGGGGTTGGCTGGCTCACTACAAAAGCAACTTTCCCTCTCCTGGCATTGACACCGCCTCTTCAATTATTGGGAATGGACTACATCCACCCTGATTGAATTGGCCCTGTCAACACTGGTTCTCCACTTGTTAGGTAACTCCCCGCTCTTCATGTGTCAGTATAATAATGCCTGCATCTGTAATTTTTACTCCATGCATCTGAAGAAGTGGGTTTTTTACCCACGAAGGCTTATGCCCAAATAAATCTGTTAGTCTTTAAGGTGCCACTGGACTCGTTGTTTTTGTGGATACAGACTAACACGGCTACCCCCTGATAATTGAAACTTTTCCAGGTTCTTCAAGCACTAGGAAAATGCTCCTCTTTCATGTTGTGAAGTGATAGTGTTTAATGTTAACTATTCAATTCAGCAGATACTTACTATCACCATATAATGTTTTAATTGATTCATATGTGCTAAATTTAATTGTTTTGATTTCACAGGTGCCTGCATAAATATCACGTACAGCCAGTGCCAAATGCTGCCATATAACCACACCACTCTAACATCAGTTCTTTCCATTGTCAAAAGCATTGAAATGGAAAAGTTCCTCAAGTTCTTCAGTTATCTCAACCGCCTCAGCTGTTATCAACACATCATGCTGTTCGGCTGTAGCCTTGCTCTTCCTGAGTGCATCAGTGATGGTGATGACAGGTATTTGGGAACTAAAATCAGTCAGTGGTTAGAGCCAATTGTAGCATAATACTGCATATCTAATCAGAACAAAACAGTCCTAGCTAAGCCTATGGCCTTATCATTGCAAAAATCCTGCCAGTCAAAGCTATTCCTCCAGCATTTCTGCCTAACTAAACTGTCTTCAAGCTCTTCTGTTAGAACAAGCTTAGTATTTTTGCTGGGAAGAAATTAATTAGTGTCACTATAACAGTTTGAATAATTTATGCCACAAGTTAGAACAGAACTGTAATGTAGTCAGGGGTTGCTTTATTAGCACAATCAATGAAAAAGATATAGTAAGGGAAGCCTAATATATTTTTGTCTTGTGTATTTTATAGTGTACATTTTGCAGTATGTATGGAAAGGGGCAGAGTTAATACTGTTTTAGGAACTTCAACAATAGCATGTCCTGATTCTTACAATTCATTATGCATTCATTATGCAACTTTCATATCCCATTCATGTAATTTTGCACTGATTTTCCTTTTTTAAAGGAAAATCATGAGATCATTCATGTTTAATAATGTTGAAAATTATAAGTGACATAAAGGGGGAAAGAGGTTGGTGCCTTTTTTGTTTCTGATCAATACAGAAGGTCTGCAACATTGTTCTTTGTTTTTCTTTTTACACTAAAAACAAACAAACCAAAAACACAAACCACTTTTTTACTCCTGTTTTTTTACGTTTGAAATTCAGATCTTTGTGCCAAGAGTCTGAAAGCCCAACAGTTGAGAAGGGATAGGATGTTTTGATAGTGTTTAAAATTCTTTGGTTTTTGTTAACACCTCTTTAACTTAATTGCCTAATGAATGCTTGAGTGAAAGGATGTCTCAGTTAAAGATTCAGCATTTCTGTTCCTCCAGTTAAGAAGTGAGAGTTCACAGTATACACCTCTGACATTCTGTCCCCAACAAAAAGTCATCCAGCAATACCAGGGAAGGCTATGTTTAACTTTCCAGATAAGGTTTAACAAGTAGAAAAAAGATCCTCTTTATAATGTTATAAAGAAGTGAAAAAGGGCACAAACTCAACTTAAACAACATCTGATCTTTCAGGTCACCTTTAAATGTTCCATTTAGGATTTGAAGTTCATACCCCTTTCTGAGAGTGAATGGGATGGGAGAGGGGTGCAGAGTTTGTAACTCAATGATGTGGATGGAGTGGAAGGAGAATAAATTCACACATTATTCTTTGTCTGAAGACAGCTTTCTGTAAGACTGGGGGCTTGTCTACATGGGTGGTTTAGCCTGCACTAACTTAAGAGCATGTCTACACTGGCAGAGTTACAGCACTGGGAGTTACAGCAATGCTCAGAGAGCGTTTAAGGGAAACTGCTGTTGTGTGTTCACACTGTCAGCTGCCTGCGCAATAGTGTGTTCACACTGGCAGCACTTGCAGCGGTATTCGGAGCTTTGCACTCTGGGCAGCTATCCCACAGAGTACCTCTTTCTCTTCTGCTGTTGTGGGAAGGTGGAGGGGGTCACGAGGCATCCTGGGTTCTGTCCCAGTGCCCTATGATGCATTGCTTTGCATCCCCAGCAATCCCTGTGCTTCCATCTGCATTTGGCACCATCTTTCAATGGTTTGTGTATTGCGTGCCCTGCCTCTTCGGGCTGCAGGAATGGATCCCAAACTGTTGACCAGTATGCTGCTCACTCTGAACAACATGTTACGAATGGCAGTGGAGTTATTCCTTAAACTACAAAGGCAAGAGGAGTGTGACATTGATCTCGCCAGGTGTAGTAGCTACGACATGAGATTACTTGTGACATTCACGGAGGTGCTGACCACAGTAGAACGCTGCTTTTGGGCTCGGGAAACAAGCACTGAGTGGTGGGATCACATCGTGATGCACATCTGGGATGACGAGCAGTGGCTGCAGAACTTTCGCGTGAGGAAAGCCACATTCATGGGACTGTGTGATGAGCTTGTCCCAGCCCTGCGGTGCAAGGACCCGAGAATCAGAGCTGCCCTGCCGTTGGAGAAGAGTATGGCGATTGCACTGTGGAAGCTGGATACTCCAGACTGCTACCAATTGCTTGCTAACCAGTTTGCCATGGGAAAGTTGATCGTTGGACTCGTGTTGACAGACGTGTGCAGGGCCATTAATCATATCCTGCTCGGAAAGACTGTGACTCTGGGCAAGGTGCATGACATTGTGGATGGCTTTACACAAATGGGTTTCCATAATTGTGGAGTGGTGATAGATGGCACGCACATTACAATTCTGGCACCAGACCTCCTAGCCACTGAGTACATTAATCTCCAGGGGTATTTCTCAATGGTTTTCCAGGTGCTTGTTGATCACCGTGAGCATTTCACAGACATTAACACAGGCTGGTCTGGAAAGGTACATGACACACGCATCTTTCAGAACACTGGCCTGTTCAGGAAGCTGCAAGCATGGACTTTCTTCCCTGACCAGAAGATCACCATAGGGGAAGTCGAAATGCCCATTGTGATCCTGTGTGACCCCCCCCACCCCTTAATGCCGTGGCTTACGAAGCCATACACTGGGCAACTTAACAGTAGCAAGGAGCAGTTGAACAACAGGCTGAGCAAGTGCAGCATGACTGTTGAGTGTGCTTTTGGCAGTTTAAAAGCCCACTGGTGCTGCCCCTATGGGAAGCTGGACCTGGCCGAAGACTATATTCCTATGCTTATATCTGGGTACTTCATGCTCCATAATATTTGTGAAGGGAAGGGTGAAAGATTCACTCAGGGCTGGACCACAGAGGCTCAGCGCATGGAGGCTGAGTTTGAACAGCCAGAGACCAGGGCTATTAGAGGGGCGCAGCGCGGGGCCATAAGTATCAGGGATGCCTTGAGGCAGCAATTTGAAGCCAAAAGCCACTAATATTTGTTGCTATGCTCTGGATTGCAGTGCTTGTAATGCTAGGAGGTGATTGGTGCACATGATGCAGGAAAGGGCCTTAACATAATTGTATGTTGTTTTGCAGGCCTCTTTTTGCTTTCAGTACATAGAATAAGGATTGCTTTCAAACCAACACAATTCTTTTATTAAAAAGCAACAACCGGAGGAGAGAGTCAAACCAAAAAAACCCATCAGCAGTGAGGGGGCTGGGGGAAGGGAAGGTCACAGGAGGAGGAGGGGTCCTGGGATGGCTGAAGATTTGTGTATGTCCAGGGATCATATCCAACCTTCTCCTTTGGAGTATAATGCAGAGGGTGCTGTACTTCAGCAGGGCCAATCTGCAGAGGGTTTGGTGTTGACTGCAGTGGGTAGTGGCAGTCCACAGTGCTGGACTGTGAGGGGGAGGAGTGGAATGTCGTGAGTATAGACTGGAGCCAGGAGATTGATAAGGGTGTGTTGGCAGTGTCTGGGGGGAGCCTGGGAAAGAGTTTTGTGACAGGAGCGGCAGGGGAGGGCAGGCGGGCGTGGAGCTGCTTCGTTTGAAGAGCTAGTATTGCCTGGAGCATGTCTGCTTGGTGCTCCATAATCTTTAAGAGCCATTCTGTGGCTTCATTCTGGTGTGCCATTTTCTCCTTTCGGTCCCTCTTCTCGCTGTCCCGCCACTCCTTCAATTCCTGTTTCTCGGCAACTGATTGCATCATAACATCACACAGAAAATCCTCCTTAGTTCTTCTTGGCCGCTCTCTAATTCTGCACAGCTGATCAGCTGCTGATAACAAAGAGGGAGACTGGGCTTCCCAGGTTATCTCTGTGAAGTTAAAACACAACATTGTACCGAAGCAGTATTGTTTGCAACAGAGAGAACACTGATTCAGTGATTTAAAACTCAGCCAGTACTCACATAACTGTCACTAACTGGCTGACCCAAGGCAAGCACACACGAGCCACAAGACTCCCAAAATGGTGAGTAGCTGCAGGGGCAGGGTAAATCACTCTTCCTGGACCCTGCTGTACACTGGGCATGTGGCTCTTGGGAAGAGCCAACACTGTAGAGGGGGACCTGATAATCATTCCTAGGGTGACCAGACGTCCCGATTTTATCGGGACTGTCCCGATATTTCCTTGTTTGTCCCGCGTCCCGACCGACATGCGGTCGGGACACTGGACAAACAAGGAAATGCCCCGGAGCCTGGAAGTGCTCGCACCCCCCCCCGCCCCGACTCCGCCCGCTCCTTCCCCCGATTGGCTCCCTCCCCGAATCCCCGCCTCTTCCCCGGGCTCACCATTCCCCCTCCCTCCACAAGCGCTGGAGGGAGGCCCAGGAGACGCAGGGGAAGCGCGGGGCCGGGGTGAGTAACAGTCCGGCCTGGCCCCGAGCAGGCAGGACTCAGTTGGGTGGTTGGGTGAGGAGGGGGGCGGCCCGCGGGGCCAGGCGGCGGCGGCTGTTGTTGTCCCCCCGGCCAGCGGGACTCGGGAGCAGCCGC